TTCTTTGCTTCCATCCCTTTTTCGAGTCTCTGTCGAATCTTTTTACCGATATCACCCTGGGCCAGACTGTTTTCAGTAGTTTTCATCCCATCTGAAAGTTTTACCTCCTATTCGCCATCGTATAGGTGTGACACCCATATGATGGAAAGTTAATATGACCACACTATTAGCTATGAGAGTAGTTTTCATCGCTCAAAGTGATTTCGCTTCCAAGTCTGATCGCTTCTGTGTGATACAGTGTTGGTAGTGTCAACGCACTTGCTTATAAGAAAAAAAGCTACCCATCCAGGAACCTACCTATGCCAAACAAAGATATATTCTCGCCGAGCAAATTACTGCCAGTATAACAACCGACCAGTCAGCACAAAAACAGTATGAGCTTTGTCTCCAGTTTCGTAGTCCTGTTCGGAGACCACACGTTTGGGTTTGAGTCCGTGTAACGTTTTCTAACGAACCTTATATTCATCTTTAACTTTATTGCCCTTACCCTGATTTTATTTAATTGTTCACGAATTCTCGCTGCGCCCAATTCATATTCGTTTGTGTTATCTAGTTCACGAAAATTTTCGGTGTATGCAGGTGGATGTAATATGTACGACCTTGAGACGGCTGAACTATGGGGATGTGTTGTACGAATCTCTGGGGCACATAAAAGGTGGTACAAATCCTTTTCGATCGGAACCTTTGCACCCGCCCAATAAGTGCTCTAGTCATGACCTAAACACAATCGACTGATCTCCAAAAGTCAATTTAGACGCCACTGCTTACGAATGGGTACTCAGTAAAAGGAGAAAGGCTCCTAGGTGATTAGTATAAAAAGTATGGGGTGCTGACGGCGAAGTTTGTCCCTTAGCAGGACTGTTTCCTCGGTGCCGTAATCTCCTCTCGAAATTCTCCATGCAAGGCTAGCGTGGGAGTTCACATGTGGTCATACAGCTCATTTTCCACTTTCGGGTTCATCGGCGTTGTGCATCTTAAATACGCTTTCTCGGTGGTCACCGGTCTTAAATTATGCGGAATCGATAAACTTGACTATCTCAACTAGACAGCATTTTGCCTCGTATTTTCACATCATACTTTTCGGGAGTTCGATGAATTTTTCCGAGTTTACTCAACCGATTTGTTGTTTCCATTCACTTAGTAGCGGGCGAATGGTTGTGCACAGTTTTTGTTTGACCGAAACGGGCAACAAATCTACTTACTTTATGAAGTTCACTCGATCACTCACACGTCTGCTACCGTTCACCGTCAACCAAAGCGTTCACGTATAGGTCTGTGTGCGTGTATGTATGTATGCATGCGTTGCATATGTTCGTCTGCGCTTAGTCGGTGGAACAATTCACAAACTCATTTATCATCATCGTCATCGTTGACGGATGCCGCCATTGTGGAGACTGAGTGGGAGAAAAAAACATCCACACTGGTGTACCGTTTTCACCCGTTTGCCATTTCGTGCCATTCGTCGGTCAGTTAGCTGCTTGTAAACGAGAGCGTGGACAGACACACATGTTAAGCTTGATTCCGTTGTTTTCTTTCATCTCTGTTATCCTTTCTCACTTCCCCGGGTGACCACACCTTTTCTACTCTGGTTAACTCTCGGCTAATGGGCCGATTCATAGGTGTGTGAGTGTAAATCAAAGAGTTTTCGCTTTCTCAGACAACACGAACCGCAAGTTAGAGAATAAAGCAGCGACTTTCAATTGGGGATTTGCAGACGATCAGCTGGTCAACCATGGATTTAGGTCAAAAAGAAATATAGAAAGAAAGATAAATGGTCAGAACAGACTGTCCTGGATTCCTTTTTTACTCAAATGAGATGACGATGTTAACCTACTGAAAACTAGTTATGAGCACTATCATTCAGCCGTTTGAGGTGATCCCAAACTGTCGCTCTACAGATTACATTGCACAGCAGTTCCGTAATTTTAGACAGTCATCTAGTGATCACCGTGATACACAAATGCTTGTCCTTTTAGTGAGATCATCATAGTCTCCCTGATAGCCACTTGAGAGCTCGATAGGTGTCACTAGTATGCTTGAAACACTATTAACTACCTGTGCGCGACCTCTCGTCCCACCTCCTTAGAAAAAAATCGTCCAACTGTAGCACCCTTTCGGTGCCTAGCTGCCATGCCACACGAAGGAGGCACGAGGGCTGGGATACCGCCTGGTTGCCCAAGCCTAGACAGGGGAAGTCGAGAGGCAGAGGTCGGGTTCGAACCACGGTCAGTAAATTCGCGCTCTAACCACTTCGGCCATCTCGCCCCCATTCCTCCTTAGGTAAACTCTCCAATTTGAATTAAACTATCATATTGATCTGGAAGCATGAGTAAATCATAAAAACATCGTACACAACTTTGACAAACTTGTTACTTGGTGGGAAAAGATATTAGTGCGATTATTTGTAAATTCCGTTTTGATCGTTCGCTCGTTAGCACTCGATTTGTTCCCGTCTCCATTGAACTACCACCACTGCCGAAACTACCATTGTTTTACATGCGAACACAGTGAAGCGAACAACGGTGCGCATTTGCGGTTGTTTGTTGAAGTGTAAATGGTTTATAGAATGTTTTGCTTTAATCGGAACCAACATGCACACTCGGTGAGAGTGATGGGGACTGGTATACATGACACTGGGGACCAGGCTATTGACTGCTAGGTCTTTTGTATTTCTACCCAGGTACGATCCGCTAGCGCACACGGATGCGCACACGTTCGTGCATCCGTGTGCGCACTCAGTCGTTATAGTGGTAGTCGCCAAGATGAAAAGGAAAGTGGCAATCGGCGGCACCGACAACAACCGCCTTGCTGCTGCTCGTGTCGGCGTCGGTCTTGACGATGGTGTGTGTATGTTTACTTCGCTGTGTGTATGAATTGTCGACTGCTAGTGTTGCACACACACACACACACACACACACACAAAATGGACGATCCAGACCTGAAAAGCGACAGAGATTTGGCGAGAAAACGAAGGTCGTAGCGGTGGCATTTTCGGTGAGAGACACACTTGGCGTGATGGATGAATGGATGATGATGATGATGGTGATGGTCATACCATGAGTCCGTGTCGCTCTCCTCTCCTTCCATCTCCATTTGTGTTCATCTATAGATGAGCACGATTCGTTCCTGGTTTGTTATTGACTACCTGTATTTCATTGATGTTTGATGCGCTAACCGTTATTCATTGCCTACAACCGCATCTGGCGGCGTATGGTCACCTTGTTTGAGCTGAGCGGGTGAATTAGTGGAACCAAAGTGATTGATCTTCATCATTGCATCTGTCGTACTGCGAACGCCACTCACAAACAGCTGATATTAGTGACAAATTGTTTGTGTCAGTAGATCACCACGATCTGGTTAACAATTCCATTGCGAGTCGGCGCATAGCTTGAGCACACATCAACCCACTGGTTTGAACCATATTTCGCTACCTTCATCGCCAGAGCATGAACCGCAAACTGAACATCGCTTCAGTTAAAAGTTCTGTATCTCTGTCCCAATAAACCACCTTTCGGTAGTATCCTTTTCTGCCTGTTAGCCATCATGAATCTGTGTTTTTAGTTATTCCACCACTCATTCTATTTTCCTCGAGCTCAGGCAAATAGCCAAACTAGAAGTACGTTTAAGCAAAGTTTGAAAAACAGACATGCATACCTGTTGTTGCGTTTTATTGTTATCCCACTACCCTGCCAAGTTTCAACGCTTCCATGAGTTTTACTTCCAAATTTTGTAGTCCGGTCATTTTTATGAAGCTACTAAGTAGGTCGGACACAGTAAATTTATCTTTCCAGTGCGAGTCTTCATTTTATTACAACCGACTTGAGTTCGTCGCCTAAGCAGTTGGTGTTCAATCCCTAATTTAACTCAAAAGTAAAGGCCCCACCCTCCACGGGATGGAAAAAACTTTTCCCGTTGTTTTTATTTTGTTTAGAGTTTCAGCCTTTCAATTTCGAATGCTCCACTGTTACTTTACGCGGAATTCACCTCATATTCCCCAAATGCTGCAATTTCCGGTTGAAAAAGCATGTAGATGTCAGCGTAATTGCATTTCGAACTACTACATGTGTATGCTGTCAAGATTTCGTAGCTGCGTGAAGTGTGCGAGGTGCAGAACACTCACATTCTCCCTATTCGCCAACAATACAGCTATTTCGCATTGTTCCACACCGTTTTAACGGGTCTTTCGCCAGTTTCGTGTTGGACGACCACCCGTGATACGCATCCAGGCTTCTGGAGCACATGTACCCATTCAAGCCATCTATTTGCCTCTTCAAGGAAGGTAGGTGTGACCTAATTGATCCGTGTCTAAGTGGCTGCAGTCGCTTCGTTTCTTTGCTAATGTGCGCACACAGTAACGATAAAACACACTTCCGAACAGTAATTTGGTGCTATGTGTTACGACCACCCATTGTGCCCATGTATACGAACTACTTTAGTGTCTTCGCCAGCTGTACTGTTCCTATTTCCCTGCCTGCACATCAATCCACTTAGCGCCGAGTGAAATACACCAAGTTGACTAAGACGTGTTGTTCCGTCTTTTGTAGACCCCTTACCAGCGGACTAACAACAACGCTTCTGGCGCCTTCATTTCTTATTTACTTGTCGGTCCCTGTTTGCCTCCATTTATTCATGTGACTTGCTGTCTTCATCACTTCCATTTAGCTTCGTTCTTCAGCAACTGGCGTTTTCGCATGTCTTAGTTGACTAGAAACAGTTTGTGTAGGTTGTAATGTTAGGGTTTCGAAATATCTGAAATCCTGAAAGATTCAAGTCGCCGTCTTATGAAATTGTAAGACGCACTGCATATCTCACAGACCAGATGGGCGTGGGGAGTCAAACTTTTGGCAATGAGTTTTTCCTACGTATATTTTCGGTTGGAATTCCGTGTTGTTTTGCTTATGGATACACCGCCTCGAATCATGGATCATACTGCTAAGCATTGATTTATGTGTAACCTTAGTGCGACCGAATCGTGATTGAATTTCATTATACTTTGTCAGGGAGGATCCCGATCATTCTGGCTCGTCTTTACCGCGAACCCGCCCGTCGTCAAGTGATGATCGTGACAAGCGAATCGGTGTTATGGATAAGGAACAACCTCAGAATACCAGGGTTCCGCCTCTGGTGGAAATGGTCACAAGGGATGATAAGGCACAGCCTAGCAGACCATTGCTTACCGACAAAGATGAACACACAAGAAAGGTCAACGCAGAACATGGGGCTGTGAAACAGGGGCAAAACTTGGCCGAAACCGATCCGTCGGCGTTTGTCTTACTTTTGACTGCTCGGTTGGAAAAAGTGAAGGAGTCGCGTGGGAAAATGGAGAAACTTCTCTCCTGGGTCAATCAAGTAATTTCTATCACCAATTTTCGGTTTACCTACCCTATAAATAGTTTCTTGAAAGGCAAATTTTGTCCTGGTTTCGTGGTTTTTAGGTTTATTCAAACTTTGCCAAGATAAATGTTGAGTGCTTTCATGTAATCTTCAGCCGTCGTCAGTGTTCTTTGATGAATGCATTCCGTGGTCCATCGTTAATATCAGGTGTGTGCTTGCATATGGCTGTAATTCTTAGGACCTGAGAGTTAATCATCCCTGCTGATCAATCTGCGAACGATCCACCTCAACATACTGTTTTTTGTGTGTGCTAACCTTGTGATAGTTCTACAATCTTCTGCCATCATGATGCATAAACCTAGATCCCAATTCAACTTGTAGGTCTGCTCTGAGTGGTACGGGCCGCCACTTCGTGTTCGCATATTTTAGGGGGTTCAGCCATTCAGCCGTCTCCACCTGGTTTGATAATCACACCTTTCGGTCTAGTTCTTGGTTTCACTGTTAATGGTTTCTGATGCGTACGACCGTGTTAATTTATTTGGATAAATAGACAGGGGAGGACAAAAAGAAAAAGGGTCTAATGCCAGCCTCGATTGGGCTACAATTCCATCTACTCAGGCAGCACGAAGACCACGCGTACGCCGCTCAGCTCAAACAACCTGTTCTGTGGCGTATTGTATGCGGGCTTCCATCAGTATAGTTCAGTTTGACAGGTTATTTCGTTCCATCCACTGTCTGTGCTCACCGTCGCGGCAAGTTCCTTCTTCACACCTGGAAATTGACCCACATCATAATTTTTACAGATGAGAACTGTTGATTCACTCATAGCGCATACCATTCCTCCGAACAGCACATGCGAATTGACTTCGGTCTACGTTGAATTGCTAACTAGCTTCAAAACAGTGTAAATGGTGAATGAATCCCAATTGGTACTCTAATTTTTTCCTCCATAGTTTTGTCACTGCCACTCTCAATATTCCATATCTTTTGCCTGCAGGCGGATGACAAATATTGTACATCAACCGGTTTGGATATCCGTGATCCTGAATACCGGGCCATCAACTCAGTGGTTACCGAAGAGGCCAAAACCAGTTCAACCGTCCCTCTTCTGCCAGCTCCTCCATCGTCACACTTCCAGCGTACTTTGGACACTTCCTCATTCCACACAAGAACACAGTCAATTGCAAAAAGATTACTTCCGGATGAAGGGAAATTCCTTGATCCGCTTGCTGACGCTGTTGCTGATGAAGATGCACAAGGGATTCTAGACGATCATTGTTCTCGTATTTGGGCGGATGATTTTGATCCTATTCCCAGTGATGACATAAGCGACGGAAACCTTCCATTTTCAAGAATGTCCAGGATGGTTCAGTCCTCTTATGTTCCTGGTAAATCCACAGACCCCATAAGTCGGCGCAGTGTCCTCACTTCTTGTACAGGTGCTGGAGTTGGAGGTCGTCGACGCACTTCTCTTTCGGCTGTCGCGTCGCAATGTGCCCGACTAGAGAGCGAAGGTTCATATGATCCTTATCGATACCGAAGTTCTTACAAACGAAGCGATGATCGTTCGAAGCGTTCCGATGCACGATCTACCGCTTCATGGGACAGCGGCGTGGTCGATCACTGTCCCCTGCCAGATTTGCCCCATTGTAGACCTAGACAGTTGGAATCTGAAACCAAATCACTTGTAGCGGCTGCGAGTCTGCAAGCTTTGTCATCCTCCACGACCGAGTTGGCCATTGTCAATAGTGAGGTGACAGCCCAACTCGTCGAACGAATGACTCGGCAGTATCAACTCCACCACCGTCATTCCCCAGCCACGCGTCCGAACGGACCGCCAACGGATACCTCGCGAACAATACCACCGTGTTACCAAAATTTCGGCCCATTCTGTCATCCGTCGTCGGCTTGTCAACCTTGCGGCCCAACCTCCGCTAGGTTTCCGCCAGTTCCATCTGCTGGCACGGGATTCTGCTCGTGTTCGTTCGATGGTCTTTGTCATTGCGACCGGCATCGAGTAAGGCCACGTCTTCCTTCACCAGGTCGTGTACCCCATTTAGAGCAGTTCCCTTCGCTACATGGCCACTCGGCGTTCCCCACGGCTTCGGACACATCGAGTACCTTCGACTCGGGCATCTCCTCCACCTATGATAAGTTGCCTTTGGTACCGGGGCAAGCCAACACCGACAGACCCAGCAGAAGCAGGTAGATATGTTCTCATTGTTTTTTGCTGACGTTTCCGTGTCCACGCAGTTTTTTTCGCTGGTTTATACCAGTGAAAATTCTGATTTAGGTCATCAGAATCAGTCGACTACCCGAACATAATTTTGGTGGCTGTCTAGTGCATTCTGCTTTTCCCCGCTCTTCACCTTACCATCCCGATGCGACGGTTTCACTGAGCTCTGGATGCATTTCAGGTTTGCTTTTGCGCGCCTCGTGTCTCAGGGTGAAGGATTTATAGAAAAATCCTTCAGTTAGGAGAATCTACTGGGAGAAGCAATGTACCTTCCGTGGAAGTATGAAACGCACCACAGTGCATGGGCATTGCAACTATGGCCTTTTGTGTTCACCTTTCCGTATTTGCTGTTACGTATTGCAGCAATCTTTGTGATTCATGTTTTCATTATACCCAGATGGATCTAGAAAGTTATGATTCGCAGCTGATTCCTGGTGTCCTTGTCTTGAAATACCACTTGTTTTTTTATTTTCTTGCGGAAAGTTAAAGTCTTGCCATTCAAAGGGAGGGGGCAAATATATTTCCGGTTTTATTTGCAGACCCCGGCGTGCATTTTGACTGGCCGATTTGAAATGGTAGTTTTTTTCAATCTACGCACTCATTTGCTCCCTCCCGCTTCATCGTAGTGCGGATAGCTCTTGAACTCTTGAGTGAAGCTTGTACAAAGTAGCGGTTTTTCCACTCAAGTTATACTCCATATCAAAGATAAAGCCTGGAAGGTTAGACTAGGTTAGTGAACATGCAGGAACCGGTGTCGTATTTCGTTCAGCTGGTGACCGCTCACTTAAACAAACCCCCATGCGATTACTAGACGGCAAAATGCCCGTTGGTGTTCCATGTTGTCTTCAAAGCACAACATTGCGCCGACCTGTTAGCAACCTACATTGCTCCAGGCTTAAGAGTTGCCGTGAATTACGAGAGTATAAATTAAAACAACCTGTTATTTGGCCTTTTCGAACTGTTTATGGTGTTCATTGTCGGTTTCGTTGACAAACCCACAATTATTTAAAGGTATTTTTGAATAATCACTGGTCTTTCAGCTGCTTATGACTGCCGTGCAACCTGAGGGAAGCACAATGGCGGAGGTACCGTTATTTGCCCATGCCTAGACAAGAACAGTCGAAATGATGGAATTGGGTTCAAACGGGGACCTTCTGGCCAGCAATAGAGTGTTTACTGAAGATGACTGCGTTCGTTGTGATAATCCGACTCGTCACTCGCACCCGGTCCGTGGCGAATCTGTTTTCCAACAATTTCTTCAACATGCTTTGTTAGAGCTCAAACTGAGAGGGAAATTCGGACTTATGCAAAACACACTCTTGAATTTAATGGCTCTTTTGAAATCTGTATAGGGGACAGTGTTTCATTTTGGTATGCTATGGGTTAGGGTTTTAAATCTGATTAATTCTGTCCTTTTATCAGGCGTCACCGTCGCATTTCGGATCCTCCATCGCTTTCTATTTCACTTAACCCTACTCTTTTCTCCTGCTTCCCTGTAGTACTACTTTTGACTGTCCGAACCACAGAACCCATCATCTCACTGATTCACAACACCGAGCGCCATTCTGCAACCCATCTACACAAGTTCCACCTCATGTCGCGCCGGTTCCACTTCCGTCCGGCCGAACCGATCTGTCAGCACCGTTCTACTCGCCTCAGTCCCATTCCAATATGGAGAGGAAGAGTTTGGGAGACTGTGCTTGTCCCACGTGTGTCGCCTTTGGTCAGGCCAAAGGGGCCAACCGTAAGTTCCTTATCCGTTGCTCTTAACCTGTCACCAGGCAACTTTAGAAGCTCGGGGAAAGGTATTCCTCAAGTTCTAGGTTATTTGATGTAATCAGTTTTGGCAATAATCCCGAAGGAGGCAGAAAAAACTAACAGTGGTGTAATATTAACCTCTATTCTGCTGTGGCAGTTTCGGTTTGGTCTTGGCTTAGCTTGATAACTGTAGGCGTGTGACCCGTCATCGACTGGATTCTGTGTGAGACCCCGTAGAGCTAAGTTGTACTCAGCAAACAGATAACCCAACGATTTGAATGCTCGCATTCATTCCTCCAGCCCTAAGCATTTCGTTGTTTCCCACTTCAGCTGACAGTGCTAGCCGAGCCAGTGGCCTTAGACCGTGTAGTCGATGCTGAGTGCTCCAGGTGACGAATTAACCGGTGCCTGTTACACGGCATAATGATCGATGCACTAACTAACATTGGGAATGTGGATCTTGTGACCTATGTTAGAGGTCAGGGTGAAGCCGACTACGTCTTACCAACGAAAATAAGTTGGATAGACGATTTTTTGTGTTCAAAAAGCGGCGACGTCCAGGCGAAATGTGTAATTAGAGCGTCCCCATGGTTTTCTGTTTTGCTATCCTTCCAGTGGGCTCGACATCCGCTGACAATGCGACTGTCTTTTTTGACGGATCGACCTCGGTAGACCCATTATTTACCGAACTCCCTGAAGTTACCGCAACTTAGTGGTTTTGGTTGTCATGCCTTGCTGCTGTGTTGATTGCTCATTGACTGGACTTCGTTCGGCCGGAGGCTCGATCGCTCATGATCGGACACAGCTTCCCATGGTCCATAGACCCGCATCTGAGTCCAACCCACATTCATGTTTCTGATCCATGGAAAACTTCTGAAAGTTCACTCTAAATTAAGCAAGTGTATGCCTACGGTGTGTTCTAAGAGCTTGATATTTTTCAAATACTATGCACTATGGAAACACGATAAGATATCCTCCGGCTGAACACTTGTCTGTTGCACGTTTCTCCACCCATGGAATATGCGCCTATTACGGTTCAGTGGGCGAGATGGCCCAAGTGGTTAGAGCGCGAATTTACTGACCGGAAGGTCCATGGTTCGAATCCGACCTCCGCCTCTCGACTTCTCCCGTCTAGACTTGGCAGTATCCCAGCCCTCGTGCTTCCTTCGGGTAGCATGGCAGCTAGGCACTGGAAGGGTGCTGCAGCTGAACGCTTTTTACGCTATTACGGTTCTAGAAACTTCGTATGGAGCAACCAACTTCGGGCTCCGTTTTCTGTGATATGGTAGGTAGATACGAGCATAATGCTATAACGAAACAACTCAGATTCAATGCGAGAACTGGTTTAATCGCATGAAGAACATCGGACACGTTCAGCCACTTTCGGTATATACAGGTGAGTGTGAACCGACAGTAGTACTAATGGTGTCTAAACATCCAGTAGTGAATCCAGTCGTTCTACGCATGGCTGTCATGCTACCCGAAGGAAGCATGACATACTGCCGGGTTGCCCAAGCCTAGACAAGAGCAGTCAAGATGCGGATTTGAACCACGGACGTTCCGATCACCAATTCCGCGCCTTGATCACTGAGTTACCCCGAGCTGTGTGCACATTACTTGACTTCTGTCTTGATGGATTTGTTGCCGTTGTATAAAACCTGGGGGCTAAATCACAGTCTACAGATTACATATATTTTCTTGGTTCGCGGCTCTAGTGTGCCCGAAGGGCATCATCTTAGGATCTGTTTAGGGGAGGTTGGAAATGTTTCGTGTCAGTACTAATAGCTGAAAATGTTAGCAATCTGGTATACTGGAATGAATCAGGAGTGCACTGAAAACACCCGGACATGAGGGAATCAGAAGAGCCGGGGTAGATGAGGGTAAACCATCATTTATGGTGATGCGATGCTGATCATACGGGTACAATCGTTGAGCAATACGGAAGCGGTATTGGAGTAGAGGATGAACAGCTGTTGTGTACGTCCGTCTGTACGGTCAACAGTACAATGTATTTGCAGGCGCGACAGCGGGTACATCATACGTTATCTATCATCTTCGATGAGCGACCTACAGATTTCGTAGCCCTTGATGAAGAATCCCTATTTACTGCTTTCTGGTGGCGTTGCTGTCATTTAAACGAAGGATGAGGGCGGATATCCAACAGTTTAATTGGAAAGAAGCCTATTGACAGTTTTCCCAGTAGCAAATAATTTGTATTAAACTATCAATCAAGGTGCATTCCAGTGCAAGGCTCATACAGAAGCCGAGTAGATGTCTTAATGGCCGAAACCTGCAACAGCTACAGTCACAGACCTTTCGCGAGGTCGAACGAAACCCAATCAATAAATTGATGGCTGCGTCATCCTGACAAGTGCCTCATTCTTATTTTTGCCAGGATGGTCACTAAGTTAATCAAAGATAAATAAAAAATCTTCATTTCACATATAGGATTCTCATGATCTTCGGTGGGGCTACTTTGACAATATGATTTTGTGACAGTTTCTCTTCAGCCTGTGTACGGATGAGTTGCAACCATATTGCATTTTCTAACCATGACTCTTTTTGTCCCCGTTCACAGTAATACATAACAAGGTCGCTCCTACCCCCTATCTTCCCGCAACGACTCGTCCGGCGGGGCAGTTACTTCAATGCTGGCTCCAGTTACAAACGTCCTCATCGGCGAAACACGTGCATCCGACGGGTGGTGATGCGAGTTCGGAGGGCCGTACCCAAAAGCCGTGTGTGCGGCATGATCATCAGCATTCCCGCCACGCCAACAGACATTCATCTTCTGGTCCAAAGTCGGTGTCTGTGTGCGATGAGCGTTTGGCTCCACAGCTGACGATGGTTCAATGGCCAGCCGATAAATCACAAACAGCCGAGCAACAGCACAAAGTATCTGCCGACTGGTAAGTTCCGACTAAACATCACGTTCATCGAACCCGTCATATCGTACCGTGTGTCGAAATCAGTGACTGCTGAGGTTCTTACACACCACCCGCAATTACTGTGCATTCCAAAGACTGAGCGTGTAGACGTCCGCTTCTTATTCGTGTCTGTGTGTGTGTGTTGCATTTTTTCTCCACCTCTCAAAGAATGTGGCCCGACTGTCATTTTTGTTCTAAGTGGCGGTATTGATGGTGCTGCTGCTGCTTGTAACAGGGCGGTCGGCGAGCGGCTTGGTTGACCCACTTGTCGCCTACTGGTAGGCCTTGTGTATGTGTGCGTCTGTGATTCAGTCACTTCAAAGGTTCCTGTCAAGACGGTGTGCTAGCCTCATCCACTTGTTCTCTCTACATGTATGCGCACCTGCACCTACCTTAAAGACATGGTATTTTATTTGTTCTGGGAACTATTCTAGTGTTAGGCTTTTTCGATTTTGTTTTTCAAACCTTGAGCACTACCGTCTCCATACAGTTTCATCAGCGAATAGACGTTTGATTTCAAACGGTACGTTTGATATACCATTGTAAACTTTTCGATGTATTTTGCCTCTAGTTCGTCAGACTCGAAGGATACCTCCTCGTCCGCTGTTCAGCCAAATGGAATCGGCCTAATTGTCGGGTACTATCTGTGCGACGATCCTGTTCCATACCGTACAGTGTGGATGGGTCGATGGCATGGTAATTTGCCTCCAGATGCTGGCACACCACACAGTCTGGATGACGAGGCGGCGTCAAATATCCTCACACTGGGCCAGTTCAAACAGTTAATCGCCAAGAAGGGTGTCTATCGGTAAGTTTCACTCTGGTCGGGTTTTTGAGTGCGAGCGAGTCAGCATCCTAGGTTTCTGTTGTATAACTTGGTTTAGCAAATGCATTTTCAACGCGCCATTCGTTTTCACCTAGTTGTCTGCTCTGGTCGACGTGGTGTGTTTTTCCTCTTGTGTTTACCTCCACCCCGATTGAGGGGACTTTCACCCCAGCTGTGTTCTCCCCCCCCCCCCCCGAAATTAGACTTTGAATGACACGAGTGATCATCACACGTCGACCAGCAACAATACAATCGTTCAGCTGTAACACCCTTTCGATGCCTAACTGTCATGCCACCGGTGGGAAGCATGAGGGCTTGGATACTGCCAGGTTGCCTAGACAGAGGAAGTCGAGAGGGCGACGGCGGGTTCGAACCACGGACCATTCCGTCAGTTAATCGCCGCCTTAACCACTGAGCCATCTCGTCCCCGTTGACCAGCAGTGGATGAATACAGACTAATGAGTGGTTCTCCATTCACTAGTTGTGACCATTGGATGTATGTGAACCTGTTTTTAGTGAATATCAACCCATGAGATACAGTTTCTTCCCTTATGTCATAACCGCAACACGTCGGTTCCTAGAATTCACCACTGGGCGAGATGGACCAAGTGGTTAGAGCGCGATTTTACTGACTAGAAGGTTCGTGGTTCGAACCCAACCTCTGCCTCTCTAATTCCCCTGTCCAGGCTTGGGCGACGTGGCAGTATCTTGGTACTCGTGCTTCCTTCGGGTGGCATGGCAGCTAGGCACCCAAAGGGTGCAACAGTTGAACGATTTATTTCTCATGTTCGAAGAGACGGAGAAGCCGCAAGTATTCTTGGATGAACTGACCAAAGCCATCCCGTCCTTTGGTATGCACTTTGCACCCACAAAGTGTAAGGTCATGCTTGTGGACGTGCAGTCACTGAACACGCC